TGGGCTCGCTCTGGTTTGAGACACCTGCCAACGGAAAACCACCGACCCCCGAGCCCCGGCTCGTCCGGCTGCCCAGCCCTGCAGCGCGTCGCGTGTCGCCGCGGGTGCCCCGGAGGCACCGGGGAGCGCAGCACATGCCCGGGAGGACGCCCCCGAGCCGGGACCGTTTCGCATGCAGGGGCCGGTCGCCGGAGTGGGGAGACCAGTGACACGTCAGCCTCGCGGATAACGAGCCGCTCAACCTCCCCGCCCGCTTCTGGAAGGGGAGCTCCCCGCGCCCCCCGGCCGGCCCCCGCTGAGCGCGGGAGAAGGCGCCGCCCTTGCCGCCGGCATGTCCAGCATGCCCAGCAACAGAGCCCGGCACCAGGAAGGCAGGACCTGGCCGCCTCCAAACTGGACAGGGGGATCCCGGGCCCACCCCTCGCCCCGACGCTCCATGACCGGATACCTAGCCTCTCCACCCACCCGGGGAAGCCCAGGCCCAGCCCCTCACGCGCTCGCCCGCTCCAGGAAGCGGTTCACGTTTCCCGTTCGAATTTCAAATATCAACGTCTCGCCGAACACGAGCGCGCGCGTTCTCACCCAGGCCGCCGCGACCTCCGCCGAGCAGCAGGGCGGCGGGAAAGCCCAACAACACGAGCAACAGCAGCTGGGTCGGGGATCTCATCGTAGCAGCTACCTAGCGCCCTCCGCCACTGCTGCTCTTGCCCAAATGGCGATCACCATCGCCTCCATCCGGGAACCTGGCGCCCTCACGCCACGCACGCTCTCCAACCCCGCCCCCGAACCGCAGAGGACGTGGCTCCGTTGAGGAAGCGGGAGGGGATCACGTGACTTAGCAACACGTACGCTTTCTTCTGGCCCTTAGGGCGCATGCCCAAAAACTCAAACGCATATGTGCTGCGGGAACGGTCTCGTTTCCAGTCCTCTAGTGCGCAGGCAAGGTCATAGAATCATAGAATATCAGGGTTGGAAGGGACCTCAGGAGGTCATCTAGTCCAACCCCCTGCTCGAAGCAGGACCAATTCCCAGTTAAGTCATCCCAGCCAGGGCTTTGTCAAGCCTGACCTTAAAAACCTCTAAGGAAGGAGATTCCACCACCTCCCTAGGTAACGCATTCCAGTGTTTCACCACCCTCATAGTGAAAAAGTTTTTCCTAATATCCAATCTAAACCTCCCCCACTGCAACTTGAGACCATTACTCCATCTGCTACCATTGAGAACAGTCTAGAACCATCCTCTCTGGAACCACCTCTCAGGTAGTTGAAAGCAGCTATCAAATCCCCCCTCATTCTTCTCTTCCGTAGACTAAACAATCCCAGTTCCCTCAGCCTCTCCTCATAACTCATGTGTTCCAGTCCCCTAATCATTTTTGTTGCCCTTCGCTGGACTCTCTCCAGTTTCTCCACATCCTTCTTGTAGTGTGGGGCCCAAAACTGGACACAGTACTCCAGATGAGGCCTCACCAATGTCGAATAGAGAGGAACGATCACATCCCTCGATCTGCTCGCTATGCCCCTACTTATACATCCCAAAATGCCATTGGCCTTCTTGGCAACAAGGGCACACTGCTGACTCATATCCAGCTTCTCGTCCACTGTCACCCCTAGGTCCTTTTCCGCAGAACTGCTGCCTAGCCATTCGGTCCCTAGTCTGTAGCAGTGCATTGGATTCTTCTGTCCTAAGTGCAGGACCCTGCACTTATCCTTATTGAACCTCATCAGATTTCTTTTGGCCCAATCCTCCAAATTGTCTAGGTCCTTCTGTATCCTATCCCTCCCCTCCAGCGTATCTACCACTCCTCCCAGTTTAGTATCATCCGCAAATTTGCTGAGAGTGCAATCCACACCATCCTCCAGATCATTTATGAAGATATTGAACAAAACCGGCCCCAGGACCGACCCCTGGGGCACTCCACTTGACACCGGCTGCCAACTAGACATGGAGCCATTGATCACTACCCGTTGAGCCCGACAATCTAGCCAGCTTTCTACCCACCTTATAGTGCATTCATCCAGCCCATACTTCCTTAACTTGCTGACAAGAATACTGTGGGAGACCGTGTCAAAAGCTTTGCTAAAGTCAAGAAACAATACATCCACTGCTTTCCCTTCATCCACAGAACCAGTAATCTCATCATAAAAGGCGATTAGATTAGTCAGGCATGACCTTCCCTTGGTGAATCCATGCTGGCTGTTCCTGATCACTTTCCTCTCATGCAAGTGCTTCAGGATTGATTCTTTGAGGACCTGCTCCATGATTTTTCCAGGGACTGAGGTGAGGCTGACTGGCCTGTAGTTCCCAGGATCCTCCTTCTTCCCTTTTTAAAGATTGGCACTACATTAGCCTTTTTCCAGTCATCCGGGACTTCCCCCGTTCGCCACGAGTTTTCAAAGATAATGGCCAATGGCTCTGCAATCACAGCCGCCAATTCCTTCAGCACTCTCGGATGCAACTCGTCCGGCCCCATGGACTTGTGCACGTCCAGCTTTTCTAAATAGTCCCTAACCACCTCTTTCTCCACAGAGGGCTGGCCATCTATTCCCCATGTTGTGATGCCCAGCGCAGCAGTCTGGGAGCTGACCTTGTTAGTGAAGACAGAGGCAAAAAAAGCATTGAGTACATTAGCTTTTTCCACATCCTCTGTCACTAGGTTGCCTCCCTCATTCAGTAAGGGGCCCACACTTTCCTTGGCTTTCTTCTTGTTGCCAACATACCTGAAGAAACCCTTCTTGTTACTCTTGACATCTCTTGCTAGCTGCAGCTCCAGGTGCGATTTGGCCCTCCTGATATCATTCCTACATGCCCGAGCAATATTTTTATACTCTTCCCTGGTCATATGTCCAACCTTCCACTTCTTGTAAGCTTCTTTTTTATGTTTAAGATCTGCTAGGATTTCACCATTAAGCCAAGCTGGTCGCCTGCCATATTTACTATTCTTTCGACTCATCGGGATGGTTTGTCCCTGTAACCTCAACAGGGATTCCTTGAAATACAGCCAGCTCTCCTGGACTCCTTTCCCCTTCATGTTAGTCCGTAAGGTTCACGTTGCGCATGTGCGATGTTGTTCTTAGCTCAAGTCTATGGCGAGCGGCCCCTTCCCCCCGCGTTTATGCGAAGGAGCGGGGAGGCTCTGCGCCAGCACGTGCGGGGGGCTTGGTTGGTTGGCCCAAAGCGGGCAGCTATGAGGTGCAGACAGGCTGTGCTACTGGGGGGAGCGGGGGCCATGCTAGCTGTTGGCTGTCCCTGTGCACAGTAGCTTTGTGCCATGACTACGTTTTATCCATTTGAATAGCATGAGATAACCAGGCTACTGTTCCAAACCCAGCACCTCCCTGCATTTATTAATGCCAGCCCTACTTTTTTTTTTTAATCGTGTAGGAGGGGAGAGAACTAACCCCACCCCAATATCCATGTCCTATCTCACTAAGGCCCTCATGCTGCTGGCTGGTGACTCACCCCTCATTGGGGTTAAATCAAGGCAGGACAGTGCAAACCCCTCACCATCCACTCCCAGGCACTGGCTTCTCCATCCAAGATGGTCCATGTCCCATGGCGGCACCAGGTATCTCTTTGGGGTAGCATACTGACAGATGAAGTGGACATGTCAGGCACTGGGTCTTTCATACAATCATAGACTATCAGGGTTGGAAGGGATCTCAGGAGGTCATCTAGTCCAACCCCCTGCTCAAAGCAGGACCAATCCCAATTTTTGCCCCAGATCCCCAATTGGCCCCCTCAAGGATTGAACTTACAACCCTGGGTTTAGCCTTAGGGTTTTGTTCAGTGTTACTAACTCTCACGATTGTGTTGTGAAACTTGTGGTATTTGGTGTCTTTTTTCTTAAACCATGGGATCAATATGAGTGGTGTGTGCACGTGTTGTGCGCTTTCCAGGAACAAATGCATAAAGATGTTTTTACATCTTATCAGTTAAACAGGTGCCTATGTACTTTTGAACTGGGGCCTATAAGCCTGATCCAATGTCCTTTGAAGTCAATGGAAAGATGGTTGTTGACTTTTGTGAGCATTGGGTCAGGGCCCATATGTGTTAGAGTACTCTTGCATATAAAAGTGTCATAATTTAAAATAGCCAACCATCTAGCAAAACTATGGGACCTGATTTTCCGCAAACCAGTAAGAACCAGAGATGCCAATTTTTCTATTTAGTACTGTATTTTAAAACAATTCCTAGTTTCTTTGAAGATTGTTGATATTAATATTAATATCTTAATATTATACTAGTGAGTTAATTGTTTAATTAAACTATGTTAAAAGAACACTATTAAGGTTGCAAAGTCAACTACTCAAAAATTAAAAAATCAAGCTTAATTTGTTCTCCTGTCACACATTCATTATGATACAGTATTTACCTGCATGACCACATACTATTTTTTGCGTCATTCAGTGCTCAGGATGGATGGTGTTCACTTAACAAGCAGCTATTCAATATTTTGTTTTCTCATAATAGTTCAGTGCGTGGCCCCAGGTCTTATTGCACAGTATCCAAACCCTGCTCTGAAGATAGAATTATTAATTTCCTCCAGGAGGCACTGCATAATTGAGCCTTAAACCTGCAGCTGCTTATTACATTATCCCATGCAGACTCCTTTGTCTAACCTGCAGTGTTTCATATGCTCCCAGTTTAAAGTTGGAGTTCATTTTTAAATTCTCCATCACAGATAGGCTATGCATAGAATGAGATACCTGCATTCGCTTCTCCACATAAATAATCCCAGGCTTGTCAACTACCAGGCTCTCCAACGTCAAACTGGTAGAAATTTTTTACTATTAATCAAAATGCAAGATATATATTGAGTTTGAAACTGGGAAAAGCCCTCCCCAGTCCAGTATGCAAAGCACTCAGGAAAGAATCCACTACATCCAAAAACTGTCCTCAAACTTTCAGTTTCCTCTCGTTGTTACTTCCGTAATTTATATACAAAGGAAAGGTGAAAAATGAATAGTGTTTTGTCCATGGTTTGCATTAACTTTAATACATCACTTGAACACATGCAATTTACTGCTCTGACAGTGATAGAGAGAATATTTCATCTTCTGTTCTTTAGAATCTACATTGTTTCCATTTGATTTTTGAACATCTTGACCCTGTTAAATTATAGGAAAAAACATAAATCACAATCTGAAGATTTCTCTAGGTTGTTTTTTTTTTAAACTTCTGATTCTTAATGTATTGAAATGCTCTTATGCATCGATTTACAATAATGTTTAATCTGAAACTGGATAAGACTCTCTAAATCCTGGTTATTGGGGCAAGTATCTCTCAGCAGATAATATCCAAACAGATATATTACGCCAACTTTTCTGAAAATAAGTCACTTTTGATTATGAACAATCATTGGCAACGTTCTTTGACTTACCTCAGTCGTGGCTTTTGGAAAAGCAGACCAACATCTTTGCCTGTGGAAATTACAAAGATAGGTTGTTTCTGTGACATAGGAGGTTTTCTGTTTGGTGTGCTAGAACCTGGAATGATATCCTAACATCTTCTGGGCAACAAAGATGAAAATTATTTTCTAACTGAATTAACTGACCGCTGCCCCACATCCATTTATAAATGGACACTAAATGGTGCTGTTACTGAAACTGCTAGAGGTGTATTCTAACTCGCGGGTGGTGGAAGGCATATTTCAAAAGAGCTGGATAACCCCTATAGCCCAAGGGAAAGGTTGAAATTATTGTTATTTATAGTGTTGTAACACCTGAAGGCCTCAATTAGGCTGGGGCCTTACTGTGCTTGTATATATAATATACTAATATAGTAAATGACAGACCCTGTAACAAAGACCTTACAGTCTAAAAGAAAACATAACAAGTGTGTGAAACAAGCAAGCAGGTAGGGGGACATGGACAGGAAACACTAACAGTAGAATGTTTTAGCATAGACTAGCTGTGAGCTCAGTTCACAGGTGTAATAAGCCAATCAGTAGCAATAGTTGCTATTATCACAACTTGATTATATGATACACCTCCTCTCTGATACTATTTCCGTGAATCAAAGAAGGAGCATTAGGAATTCCCTGTCAAGACATCTACAGAAGATCTGATTGATATGGACAAACATCTTTGTATTAGGATTACCAACCCCACAGGTTTGTCCTGGAGTCTCCAGGAATTAAAGATTAATCTTTAATTAAAGGTTATGTCACATGATAAAACCTCCAGGAATACATACAACCAAAATTGGCAATGCTACTTTGTATTAAAAAGAGTTATTTTCAGCTAGAAGGGGCTGATCATGACAGTGTTCAGTTATATAGATTTTTTTTCCCTGCAAAAAGGGCCCTCAGTTGATAGTATCTATTATAAAAAGGGTTGATTTTTAAAAAAAACCTTTTATTCTGGCATTTGAACTGTATGATGTTTACCTCAGCTTTCTGGCTTTCATTCTGAACTTCTTTATTAAGTCTTCCAGATGCTTGTTTCTTTTCTCTAAACTGTCAGCAAGAGACAATGTAACTGTTTGTACACTGTATAGATATAGATGTATCTATCCTTATTTTTCAGTACAAATATTTTTATTAGGTACAGTACAGAAATTAAGACTATCAAACTGTCTCTTCTGCATGTACTGTATGTGAAGACACTGTGTGGGTTGGATGCAAGGGGCGGGGGGCTTGAAGGGTGTATAGAAAGCAATTTGGGCAGCAGTGTCATCAGTGTAACACCACATTCTATGTCTGCCTAATTTTTCTTTCAACTCAGAATGGTGCAGTGTGTTTGTGTTCCCAGTGCCTGGCTGAGATCGGCACTTGAATGAGAACAAGCTGGCTGAAGCTAAATCCAAACATGATGGAGGTAATGCTTGTGGGACAGAGAGAATTCTTGGGGGTACAGCAGGGGTTATTCTTACCATCCCTGTTGAAGAGGTGTCCCACCTTTTGTCCAAGAGGTTCACAACTGGGGGTGCTTTTGGGTCCCCAACTGCTCCTATAATCTCAGGTGCCTTTAGTGGCTAAAAGTGCTTTGTACCTGCAGTTATTATTCTTAGATCTGGACCTTGCTATGGCTATTCATACCATTGAGACTTCAAGGCTGGATTACTTGGCTATTGAGCCAGGTTAGTCACCAATATTCCAGGAACAACACTGGTTTCCTATTCACTTCTGGATTCAGTTCAAAGTGGTAACTTTGGTGTATAAGGTTCTGATGCAGCAAAACACTTAAACATGTGCTTAATTTTAAATACTTGAATAGATGCCTTGATTTCAGTGGGACTTCTCATATGGTTAAAGATGAGAACATGCTCAAGTGCTTTGCTGAATCAAGGCCTAAAGTCTTGGGAGGTTTGGGCCTGAGTTACCTAGAGACTTCCTCTCCTCCCATGTTTGGTAGCAGCAGCTGAAATCAGATGAGTCCCACGTGGCCGCCAAGGATATCAGCTCTGGCAGCTCCTTCATGGAACCATCAGCATGGGCATGTACCTGGAGCAGATCACTACCATCCCTGATGCCTGTCCATTTTGCAGCATGAGGGAGACCCTGGCACACATTTATCTGCAGTGTGCCATGTTGCAGGCCCTTTTCCAGTTCCTTCAGAGCCTCCTTTTGAGGTTCTGGCTGCACTTTTCCCCACACCTTTTCATTTTTGCACACCCTTTTCATGGCCCCATGAAGTCACAAGACCTCCTCATCAACCTCCTCCTGGCGCTGGCCAAAATGGCCATCTACGATACCAGGAGGAGGATGTTGGACGGGAAAGTACTCACTCTGTGACTGTGGGGCCTACTTCTATTCCTCCCTTGTTTCACACATCCAGGCAGAGTTCCTCTGGGCAGCATCCGCTGGCTCCCTAGCCATCTTTGAGAAGCAATGGGCACTGTCCGGGGTTCTCTTCTCGATGTCCCCCTCTGAATCCCTGATTTTGAACCTAAGACCCTCACTCTTGTCCCTGCTTAATCATTTGTTGTCCCGCGCGATCACTTGAACCCTGGGTTTAATTGCTCCTCCTCTTAGGCTGTGGGAAGAGTCTTCTGATAAGGGCGGACTTGCGCTAGAATTCAGTAAATCAGATGAGGCACTCCAGATATCATTCTTAGAATGAAATATCTGGAACTGTTAGCAGGTTGTTCTCACTGAATATCACTCAACTCAGGAAGATGCTTGCCTCTGGTGAACCAAGAGAACCCCAGTATGTTGACCCTTAAGACACATTGCCTGCCTGAGTGGTGGTGGAATTGCATGTTTGAAGAGTTGGTGAGTTGATATTTAAATTGTTTTGGGGGAAAATCTCTTCCTTTAAAAATTGTATAAACTGTATTTTCTTACACATTTTTATACATGCACCTTGATTTTGTAATTAGATGCATTTTATTAATTAAATATAGCTTTTATAGAGAAGGCCTACACAATTTAAGAGAGAATTAGAACATGTCTATAGAATATTTAATCAGGCTAGGAAATCTAGAAGACAGGGTACTGGACCAGGAGTCAGGACACCTGGGTTCTACTGACCTGTTGTATGAACTTGGGCAAGTCACTTTACCTCTCTGTGCCTCAATTTCTCCTCCCACCCTTTGTCTGTCTTATTTATTTAGAATGTAAGGCCCAGGTCCTCAAAGGTATTTAGGCATCTAACTCTCACTGATTTCAGTGAGACTCAGGTGACTCAGTACCACTGCAGATCTAGGTATAAGGTCTTTGGGGTTAAGACTGTGTCTTATTATGTGACTGCACAGTGCCTATCACAATGGGGCCCAAATCTCAGGTGGGGTCTCTAAATAATAATAATAAATACATATCTGATCAACCTATACAATTCAATAGTAAGGATATAATTCTCTATTAAATTCTGTAGTTTTCTAGAGTCATTCTATAGAGCCATATAATCCTGTCAGTTTCAGCCCTATTATATTTCTATAGGGCTTTTCTAAAAGGTAAATGACTATTGTATATAATAATTATAACTAATAATAGGTCTTATTGGAATATCTTACAATGGGATTTTCCCAATAAAGCATATACTTTACAGAGCACACATTTTACAATTTATTACTTCACTACATGTATTACTAGACTATTAAGTCAAAGTTTTCAAAATTGGCCTTTTGTTTTTTGTGCCTACATTTTTGGATTCCAAAATTGAGATACCCTGGGACTAAAGTCATTTTTGGATTCCAAAAGTCATGAGATCCCACAATTCTAATTGAAGTCAATGGGATTTGCAGATCTTTAGCATCTCTGAAAATCAGGCCCAAGGCATCTCAGGTTGGGCATTCAAAATCTGAGGCCACTTTTGAAAATGTTGGTTTTGGTCACTGAGCCTCTCAGTCAGAGTTTGACAGGCTTTTGTGCTGGATTTCTCAAATTAGAAAAGAATAACAGGAAAATAAAGCATGTTTTAAAATTGTAGTAGGCCTAAAAATAGATACTGAATGTCCCTACTAGCCAGACAATGGAAGACCTCAGTAGAAAAATAAGTTTTAACTTGTGTTTTTAATCCCCCACCCCTCCCCCATGAAATCCTCTGACACTTACTGTATTGATAAAGATAGTCCATAATACATATTTCTGTGGTATAACTGACACCACTAGTCCCATGCAATCTATATGGGATATATATCAGCCTTGGGAAAGAGGTTTGGATTACATAACCTTATTATCTCTTACATATTTAATCAACTGCATGCTTTTACAAACTCAGACCCTGATTCAGGGCAGCAGTTCAGCACATGTTTAACTTTAAAAGCATGTGCTGAAGTGCTGCCCTGAATCAGAGCTTCAGTGACCAGTCCTGCAGAACCTTATTTACAGAGCTTGGTGTTTACTACCCTTAGCAGACCTGCTGATGTACTTTGTACTACTCATGGTAATAAGTAGTGTGCATAGTGCAGGATTGGGCCTTGTCATTGTTACCATGTCATTTCCTGTCCTGTAACAGTAAAATAAATTTGTTACCGGGTATGATGTCATATTCATGTGGAGTCTAATTCTGCAAGGTGCCAAGTGCTCTCTGCTCCCATTTACTTTATTATTGGGTACCCCATTTGAGATCTGAAAATCAATGGGACTTGAGAGCACTCAGCACCTCAGAGAAATGGGTCCTAGGGGTCCATGCCTGCTCCTAGTGAAATAATGGCAAATCTCCCATTGACTTCAAAGGGGTTATGATTAGGCATTGAGGCTGGGATTTTCAAAAGCACTTTAAGAGGTTTAAACTTCAAGCTCTCATAAAATTCATTAGGATTTCAGACAACTAACTGCTTTGTGTTCCTTTGAGAATCACAGCCTTAAGAGTTTTAATTTCCAGAAAGGAATTGTTGCTGTTATACTGCAACAACATTTTCTCAAAAACATTCAGATTTTTTGTCCTGTCTAAAGAACAGTGATAACTGTTTGAAGATCAAACAAATAAAAAGAAGTTGAGAAATAATATGTCCTGTCAGCTTGACCACTTTTGATGTACTTGTCAGACACAGAAGAAATAGAAACAGAAGATAGCTGTTGAAAGATCAAGTGATCTAGATAATTTTTTTGTCGTCGTTAAGGAGAAAGGTGGAACTGATCATGACTCTTTCAAGTACATTAGGAAGTGTAGCACAATGGATGAAGCACTCCAAATAGCCACACTTAAAAACATTTCCAACTTCCATTTGGTGTTGGTGGGTTTGTTTCTGTTTGTTGGTTTTGGGAAGAAGATTGATACCAAAAAATGTTATAAATAATATACAAGCCTCAAGCTGTATATATTGCAAAGCTCTTATCCCAGTTCTCAACTGGAATGGTGCAAGTTGGCCCTAAATTAGGCATAGCCAGGCCTGGGAAAGGCCCTCATTTTAATGGGATGCTCAGGTAATGTAAGGCAGCCATAACAACTTCTATGTCCCTCTCCCATTGCCACTGTAGGGAGCATGGCCAAAGCTCCAGAGGCAATCTGACAATCCACAGATGTCATATCAACTCTTCGGGACAGATGTAAGCCAATGAGTTGTAAATTGGTCCATTGCAGCTGTGTAAATTGGTCCATTGCAGCTAGTGTAAGCGGGACTCACCCTTAGGCTGCTCTAACATACATTGTGTGAATGCTCCATGACACATCTTTACCAAGATAAGACCACCTTTGCAATCCCCTTCCAAAGATTCACTGTTTACTCCATTGCTGCAGCTGAGGATGGAGGCCTATCCTTTTAGTTTCGGTGATATGTATTGTACAAAACAACTGATCTTTGTTCTCATGTTTTATGTTGTACAGTATCTAGCACATTTCAGTAATTATAAAATATAAAAATACTGTCATATCAAGGAACATAATTTATTCTTTGTCTCCCTGAATAAGGGAAGCAAGGGAAAATCTCTCTCTCTCTCTCTCTCACACACACACACACACTTCTCTGCAAAATGAAGAAAATCAAGTAATTAGTTCAGTCAACCTACTATGATATCTGGGAACTTGCTATCTCAAGCCTTTGGTCAGCACATTCAATAATTTCCTCATATGATGTTACCTTTCAAAATAAAATCATCAAGCGATTAGCTGCTGTATAATATCTAAAACAGCAAAAGACAGTTTCCACAAAGCAATACATTCTCATCTCCATAGGTCTTGCATTTGTATGTGTTGCTCCCACTGTCCCTAATGAGCATTCCACAGCTATATCCTACTTGTCCTGCTCATGCAGATAATTCTACTGATTTTAGAGGGACTAACCATGTAAATAAAGTAAGCAGGACTTGGCTCATATGCTAAGTTTCTACACATACTGAGTTTAGCTTCCTTTTCTATCAAAGTATATCAAACCCAGCTCTGTGTTCTTTAGAGGTTTCCCATCCAAGTACTGATCTGGCCCGACTCTGCTTACTTTGTGAGATCTGACAAAGAGTTCACAAGTCTAAGAAGACAATTAAGATAGGTCGGAAGAGGGGGAGAAACATACAATATAAACAAATGTCCTGAAAATGTCAACTTTCCATTGTGTCAGGTTAACATGTAAAGTTTCTGCTATACAATCACACTTGTACCTTGCATGTCAAGCTACCCAAATCTCCTTGAAGCTTCTCATTTTCTCCTGTGAGTCTCTTACATTCTTCTTCCTTTAGCGCCAGATGGTTTTCCAGTTTTGTAATCTCAGAAAAACAACAAAAATATTTCATTGACAATTACTGTCTTAAATGTGTCCTGTTAAACATCAGAAATAAAGAGCTACCACTCAGAATGGAAGAGTGGAAGATAGATGGCAGCCATGACTTCCTGAAAAGGGATAGTGGTCTTTGCAAGCCTTTATTTGTCACTTGTCCCAGTTCCCAAACTGTAAAGTGAGGATACGCTGCTTGTACTTACTAGGGGTATTGTGAGGCATAAATCATTAATATTTGTAAAGTATTTTGAGGCTCCCAGATGGCAAGCACTATAAATAGAAAATGCCATTACTTATCACCACCAGAATGTGTCTGTGTTTGTATGTGTATGTAAATATATCCATAGGAGTACGTAAGGTTCACCAGACTTAGGAAGTGAACTAGAATGCAGTGTGACAAAGCATTATTGTACACTGTTTTCCAACAAAAATAACTTCCAAGGCCTTATTCTGTCATATACTGGTTTCCTCACCTGGCAATGGAGGTCATCACTTTGCTTATGGTATTCACCCAGTTTTGTTCTCAGCAAATCAAGCAGTTCTGTGCCACTCCCAGTTTCCTCTTGACCAGCACCTGCATCCTATGGATAAATGTGTCATTAAGGAAAATTGGGTCAAATCCAATATTAGTCATTATACTTGCTTCCTTTTCTATAATAATGGATTTCAAGTTCCATAATGTAATTAGTCTATTTTTACAACTATTATCCAAACCACTCAATCTACCAAAGACTAGTTTGGTCTTCAAGGTTTCCAACACACTCATTTTTTAAAAAAATTGCTTGTCAAAATCAGGACAATATACTCTCTGGGCCTGATTCTCCACTTGTTAATCCAGGTTTAAACTGGTGTAATTCTGCTGATTTTAGAAGTGTTACACTTACCTAAAACTGGAGTAATGCAGTAATGACTCAAATCCTCTATTTAGTATGTTTACATTTTCCTAAAGACTACATGCCAGAATTTAAAATGTTTTGTAAACGTGACTGATCCACAGAGTTCTATTCATTCTGATACAGCTTTTTAAAGTGTAAAATGTAAAAAGATTATGGCACAGAATCTCACCCCAACTCCACTCCCTTTGTGACTCTCAAGCAATGTAAAGGAAGCTGAGACTCACTATAACTAAGGCTAAGATTTTGTCATGGTTATTTTTAGTAAAAGTCACAGACAGGTCATGGGCAATAAACAAAAATTCATGGAAGCCATGACCCCTCTGTGACTTTTGCTGCTGTGGCTCCATGGGTTCCCCCACCACTGTGGCGGCTGGGAGCTGTGGGGTTTCCCCTCCACCCATGGCAGGTAGAAGCTGTGGGGGGGACCCCTCCGCCCCTGGTGACTGGGAGCAGCAGAGTGACCATATTTCCTAAAGAAAAAATTCGGACACCCCCAGCCGCTTGCCTGAGATGTCCCCCTCCCCCGCACAAGGCTGTCGCCTGTCACTGGAACCCCGAGGAGGGCCCCCTCAGGAGTCTGTCACCTGTTGCTAGAACCTTGCAGGGGGGCCCCTGTCGCTGAAACCCTGCCAGGGCCCCGCTAGCTGCCACCTCCAGAGTCCCACAGCCCCTGGGGCTGAAGCGGAGAATGTCACGGAGGTCTCTAGAAGTCGGATTCCGTGACTTCCATGACTTCCGTGACATAAACATAGCCTTAATTATAATTCCCATGCAAAGAATTTCCCCAGCACTGGATGTCCCCAGATGGCACACAGATGTCAGACAGGGCTCTAGGCTGCCTTCCTTGCAGGCCCTGGTGCCAGGGGTATATCAGGACTGGGAGTGTAGAGCGAATGACCAAAGTTTGACTCCCTCAGGCATTCCCCAACTGGACCATAGCCAGCTGGGAGAGGTGAGGCATGTGGCAATGGAGTATGGGTGCTGGGAAACAAACACATCCAATTCTGAATCCTGACCTACCTACACCTTGTCTTCTTGATAGTCAATAAAAATATAACAGCTCTTTTACAGATAGGGCATGAAATTTGGAAAGGGAGAGGAAGAGTGAAAAAGGAGGCCTGTCTACACTAGGTAAGTCACTATGTTAATGAATGGGGTAGCACCGCTGGCACTGTCTTGCCCTGCAACAGAGCAGTGTGACTTCATTAGACTGTTTGGTTTATATGTATTAGTGCGGTGATTCCAAACACACCCAACTGTTATTGTACCTATGCACTGAAACGCCTTCCCCAAAGTTCCCTGCATATCTGTCCACAACAGGGGCACTGCAGCAGGTGCTAAGCCGGCAGAACTCGGATACACACATCTAGTTTTTATTGTACTGTTAGTAGTAGTGTATTCGTCTTAGCACCCAGGGCCCTAATCAGGACTGAAACCCTATTGTGTTAGGCTCTATACAAACACAAAGGGTATGTCTAGGCAAAATCACAGGGTGTGCAGCTCAAATAGACTTTCCTGAGCTAACTTTAATTTAGCTAGCTCAGATCCTGGAGTAGTGAAGCAGCAGCAGCACACGCTTAGCATAGGCTAGCCCTTAAGGTAGTTATCGAGGGTGCTGGGTTGGCCTGTGCTGCGGCAGCTTCACTCCAGGACCCAAGCCAGCTACATTAAAGCCACTCTGGGTTCATCTGCTTAAACTGCAATCTAGACTCACCCACAGAATGAGACAATCCTGCCCCTGGGGAACTAAGTCATATTTTAATCTAATATCACCGTATATTAATACTGACCAAACACCAACCTATTACCTCTAATTTCTATAACTGTTGATAATGTTGAACTCACCTCAGTCACTTGATCTTGGGAAGCTTTCTCATGAATAATTAACTCTCTCATGGCTGCTATGCTTTCCCTGTGTTTCTGTAACTAAATATTTACAGTGATTAAAGTACGTGAAAGAGAGAATATATGCTGCTCAAGTATAATTTATTTTTAACACATAGCAGAAAAACTATCAATCACACAAGCAAATCTTGGGTGGAGAGACTCCCAACCAAAAAATACTGCCTTATAAATGATACACAGAGCCTGGGTGTAGTACGTTATTTATATCACTTCAGTATCCACAGAAGGAAGCACAGCTACCAAATGCATCCAATTTATTCTGTTCAGATTTTTGTATCATGCCCTTTGCTGTGTTCATCCAACAATTTTTATCACTTCTCATCCCAGTCCAGGCACCTATGCAGGGGTACAGCTGCATGGAGATAATTGCAAGATCTGGGCCTTAGGGATCAAGAGTGCCTGTTAGACCCTAGCCCCTGCTGAAACCCACCCCTCCCCTGGAGCTGGCTACAGATCTGTTCCTTAATTTATTTTTTATTTATTTTGATTTTCATATCAATTTTCTCTTTTCTTCAGGCAGAACAGCAAACCTGGGTACATTAAGGGACATTTTGTAGCAGTAATAGAGTGCAGCGACTGACATTCCCTGTAAAGGAATTCAGAGTTCCAACTGCACTGTCATCTCTTGTGACAAGATTTTGGTATCAATACAGGGGCATAGTCACTCTGTAAAATAGTATGTTCATAAAAGCCTATTTATAAGGCGCTATCCAGAACGAAATGTGAGGATCAGAAGCCAGGTTCCCAAGATAAGTCAGTTTAACCAGCCATTCAAGGTTAAGTGGGAGAACAATTTGATTCCATTTAGAAACATATACTGAGTAAGTTCAAGTGTTATTTACTCCTTCTCATAATACAGGAACAAGGGGCCACCAAATGAAATTAATAGGTAGAAGGTTTAAAACAAACACAAGAAAGTATTTTTTCACGCAACGCACTGTCAACCTCTGGAACTCCTTGCCAGAGGGTGTTGTGAAGGCCAATACTATATCAGGGCTCAAAAGGGAGCTAGATAGATTCATAGAAGATAGGTCCATCAATGGCTATTAGCTAGGATGAGCAGGAATGGTGTCCCTAGCCTCTGTTTGCCAGAAGCTGGGATTGGGTGACAGGGCATGGATCACTTGATGATAACCTGTCTGTTCGTTCCCTTTGGGGCACCTGCCATTGGCCACTGTCAGAGGACAGGATACTGGGCTTGATGGACCTTTGGGCTGACCCAGGATGGCCGTGCTTATGTTCCACCACTGTACAGCACAAGGTAGGGTGGCAAGATTTGCAGATGCAGAGTATTCCCCATCCATAGTACTAGCAATGGAGCTTGAATGCTTCACCACAATGGGCTTGGTTCTAGCTCCTCCTAGTGGACCAGTACAGAAGGTATGGACACTGCACGCAGTATTGGCACACATCCTAACATACGGCAATGTACCTGCCATTTATCCCCATTCTTTAGAGTCATGGAAAAGTCATTGCCTGAATTTGTTCTCGGTAGTCTTCCGAATTAAGCAGCCATGCTATTTGTCAGGTTGCTGAGTAAATGGATTCTACTGTATAAAATATTTTGACTGGAGTTTTGACTTACACTCCAGTGGAAACCTCTTGGCCAATTTAAAAGGTGATTAACAGAGGGATATAATACCCAGACCCACAGATCGAGGGCACTATTTTGCTGAGTTTGCCCCAGAAATTTGGGAACATATCTCAGCAGGAATTAGAATTATAAAAAACAGCATCATGGAATTATAGGTGATGCCTTTTATTGGAAAATTCAGAATTAAATGGGTAAGCTTTTGAGGATTGCACCTTCTTCATCAGGAACCAAACAGAGATTCAGACCCTGATGAGGACAGTTTGAGTCTCAGAAATGATTTTCATAGTCATTCCCATAGAAGACATCACCTAGCATTATGTTGTTGTTTTGCTGAATCTGTCTTTCTTCTCGGGACAGTCTGGGCTGGCAGGAGCCTCACTTCTACCTTCACCAAGAATGAGGGAATATTTACCTCTTTCTCCAAGGTTTTCTTTTTAAGGGTGACGTTCTTCATTTTTTCTCCCAATTCAGTAATAATTTCACTCTTCTTGGAATATTCGATGGTAGAATCCATGTCCTAGTAAGCATAACAGTGAGACAGCATTAACAACGTTTAAACAGTCAAACTAATGAGATTAACCAGGCCTAACTGAGGTCTGTTCAGAGCCATCAGGTTCTGAACTTGTTCCCTAGACCAGATAGTGCTGGGAACAGTAGTGACTTTAGGGGGAAAGAACACTTAATATTATTGTTCAGTGACATCCCGATGGCCTGCCCAGAGATAGTTCAGATTGATTTTGGAAGCAACCACAACTAGAGGTCCTTTGCTGGAAGTCCAACCACCAGGCTTTTAACCATGTAACAGCAGTACTCTGTGATCTGCATCGGCTGCTTTTTAGTTTCCAGGTGAAGTTTAAGGTGTCTGTTTTAACTTACATTGTCCAAAATGGTTTGGAACCACCTGCCTACATGAGAGACTGGCTCCCTCCCCTTGAGGCACAACCTCATCTGTGATCAGTGGAGGTTTTTGTAGCTGGAGAGCCCTGGCTTAAACAGGAAGGGCCTGCTGATAGGACATTTTCCATGAGAGATCTGTGACTCTGGAACTTACTTCCCCCTTGGTTTACCAGAGCACAGATTTGTGAACCTTCCAGACATGCTGTAAAGGACCATCTTTCTTCTCTTCCTGTTTGGGAAGCATGGCTTGAAGGACATGGATTGAATAAGGTAGGGAAGGGGAGGTTAGCTAGGATTACTGTCGTGGGAAAATATAACTATGCCAGTGGTGGGAGATTTAGTTTATTACACATAATAATTTCAGTGTTACCTTATCTATTATAAAAATTCATAGAGCAATAGGTGGACACTTGAAATAAGTAAAAAATGAATGACAGAAAGGAAGAATTGAGGGGAATAAAAATAATTCCCTCTCCCTCCCAAAGACTCCCCAAGGATTTGCCTGGGATTAAAATTGAAGGGTAGGCTTGAAGTCAAAATGGGAGCTGTTCTTTGGAATTTTGTGTGTGCATTATTTATTTTTATTACAATAGCAACTACAGGCCCACTGTGCTAGCCATTGTGCATACACTTAGCAAGACACAACCTCTGTCTCAAAAAGCTTACCATCCAATTAGACTAGACAAACTAAGGGATGGGAAAAATGGAATATTATTCCCATTTGATAGATGGGAACGGAGGCATAGAGAGAGTAAAGCCCTGGCTCCGCAACTGATGATGTGCGGTTGCAGCAGTACACCCATGAATAGATCAGTTCTCTTCACTGGGGCTCCATAGAGGCTCACTGCCACTACATGCAGTTAGCTGAAGGATCAGGACTCAGTGACTTGATCAATGTTATACAGGATGTCTGTGACAGAAATTGAACCCAGATTTCCTGAATCCCAGTCCAGTTGTGCAGAATTTGACCCCTGGTTTCAGTTTTGTCCTTTGTTCTGCTCTGAATTTGTCAAAGAGGGCTTAAATAAACACTCAAAATATTGAATAAAATATAGACATATTAAGAAATTAAATGATTAAATAACAAACATATCCATTATAGGAATAGCCAGTAATGCTGTTGTACATCATGAAACAGCCATACATCGGAGGAAGAATTCACCACTTCATTGATGCTTGGGTTTTGCAAATTCTTTACTCTTTTCAAACAATGAACTAAAATTAGTCTAATATCAGTTCTAAATTGTCCATCTGTCCATTTCTCTCTTCTCTTCTTCCGTGAGGCTTGTAGATGTTCTGCCATGCAAGGAGTCCATACAACTTTAAAGGTCTTCAGTATGGTTTGAATAGAATAGGCCAGTGCTCCGTTTCCTGTACATGCCACATACTGTATTACCAATCATTATTAGCCTGTTTCCCATTGACTTCAGTGGGCACTGAGTCAGGTCCTAGATGCGAGGGGAGACTCAGGCTTCCAAGCTCTCCCTATAGTACTGAAAGAGGAAAATTACTGATATATTTTTAAAAAGATTATCACAAGGAATGTCATACAGACTCCTGCTACCTCTAGCAAGATTCAAACGGAATATGTCGACACACACTATGGAACTTTTAGTTTGTGGTAGCAGGGTCCACTCAGCAAGTTAATGCATGGCAGGCCAGTGGGCTGTAAATTCGCACCCTGGCTTGCTGCAAGCTAACTCACCATGTAGGCAAGCCCCACTTTTACAAACAAAGGCCCTGCTCCTGCAATGTGAACTGCATGGGTGAATCACTGCATCCACCTGGATCCCTGTGGGCTCTGCCCACATGTTGCTCAATGCAGGATTGGAGACTTAGGGAGGACAATGGAAGGAATAAGCTATTTTATACCATTGCATCTAGGGAAGGAGTCCAAATTTTTGAAAGGTGTTATTATTTCACAGTCTGTGTAGCAGGGGTGAAATCCTGGCCCCATTGAAATCTATGAGAGTTATGTTATTGATTTCAAAGGGGCCAGGATTTCACCCCAGTTCTTGCAACACTGTGAAACTTCACACATCCACTTGCGTACTGGCAAGACCTTTTCTCATTTCCATGGCTATGAAACATTAACATTGCAAAAGAAATCAAGAATATTCAGAAATTTCTATTTGCAAGATGAAATAGTCACCTTCATGAGGGATACAAGAGAGAACCATCCTTGGATCCAGTGGAGAATTTTCATCCTGTTCCAACAGTTCATTTGTTATTTACTGTAAATTCTCCCAATATGTTTGTAGTTTTATACAATTCCATAGTATCTGTGTGAAGTCAGCATTTTCTGTACTACAGACCAGATTCTTTGCTGCATCTGGTCAATGTAAAGTACAGCAGGGAGGACACAAATGAGCCATTCTGCAGCTCCCTGACTTTCAGACTGGTTCTGTCCCAGTCCTAGCCCTGCTGTAATTTACAGCATCTTGGTAAGTGCTCGAAATCTGCGTGTTGCGGGACGGGTTTAGGAGGGTTGCCAGTGCAGGGCTGGTGCTAGGGAGTGGCAAGCAGGGCAACTGCCCGGTGCTCCATGCCACAAGGAGCCCTGTGAAGCCGAGTTACATGCTTCAGCCCGAGCCCTGCTGCCCAGGGCTCAAGCCCAAGCCCAAGCCCCACCTCCTGGGCTGAAGCCGGAGCCCGAGCCCCGCTGCTTGGGGCTGAAGCCTGAGCCCAAGCTTAAGGTAGGGGGTAAAAAAAAAATGTTAAGTACAAAGGTGGTCGCCAGCAAAAGAAGGTTGAAAAATACTTCTCTAAACTATGCCTAAGGGCATGTCTACACTGCAATAAAAGACACACGGTATGGCTGCTGTTGGCCCAGGTCAGTTGACTAAAAATTGCAGTGTAGATGTTCAGGCTCAGGCTGAAGCGCAGCTCTGAAACCCTGCGTGGGTCTCAGAGCCTGGGCTCCAGCCCAAGCCCAAATGTCTACATACACTGCAATTTTTAGCCCCAAGGTCCAAGCCCTGCAAGCCTGAGTCAGTTGACCGAGGCTCTGAGACTTGGTGCTGCAGGTTGTTTTTTATTGCTGTGTAAATGTACCCTTTGTGACCAGCTAAGACAAACCAGAGCACAGTTGCACTCTGGCCACACCTCCAACACATCTCCTCTGCCAAGCCATGGAGCAGGGTAGCAGCCAGTCATGCCAGCTCTACTCCAGGGGAGGACACCCCAGGTTGGAGGAATTTTCAACTGAGATCCCATTTTGGCCCCTTAGTGCTGCCAGCATGGCACAAGTGGGCTGAAGAGGCTAAATAATTTGGCCCTACATCTCCAACATTGTTTATCTCCAACACATTCTTCTGTTTCCAGTAGACATTGTCTATAAAGAAATAATGTGATGGTAATGCACAAGAATTTTCACATTCTTTATACAATTGCTCAGGAGTCGCATGGAAATATTAATGGCAGCCATCGGTTCCAGAGATAGAGGACACTTCATAGCTACCAAATCAGTTCCCCTGGGAATTAAGTCAAAGGAGCCAGAAGCAACCACTGAAAATGTTTCTTCCCTGGTTTGACACCTATGGCTAAGCCAAGGATACTATGCAGGTAGGTATGGCCTACAACAGAAGCACTGCTCAAAATGCAACCTTGTTGCTAACCCTACTTCAGCTCCACTAGTGTTAGCAACTCACCAGCACTCACTCACCAGAAGCCTTTCTTTAGCAGCAGATCATAGACACACATTTGGTCTAATGCACAGTGCTTAAAAGGCTGGCAGCGACATGGAACCTAGTCTACACCCTGGCTCTCAGCATCGTTACGCTGGTGGAGCTGAACCGGTGTTAGCAAAAATGTCCCTATTGTAGTCAAGACCATAGAGGCTTACTGATAAGAGGAGAGAAATAATTTGATATTTTTCATTAACCTCAGTCACAATTACTTTTCTTTTAATACGTCTCTCGTGTGTGTGTGAATTTAATGCTCATGAAGGGTGCGGGATTGACAGTCCTGAACAACATCGACCTCTCTGTATCTACAGTATAAATAAAGCAAAGTACAGGCAGCAGCAATGCATGCGTCCCGGCAGCATCCCTCAAACATGCTCTGGAGAAACCACCTCTAGGAATGAGACAGTAATTCTGACTCCATGCTCATTCAGGCATTGAGCCAAAGTCCAGCAAGACTACTACTAAGGGTTCCAATGAGCTGAGGTAGTTTTTGTGATGTAGATACCTGTCCACTGGAACTGGACTGAGACCACCAAATCATTTCATATAGGCCACCAAATAGTCATCAGATGGCTGCAGACTTTGCTCACTACCTATGTTGGCTGGATTTGAAAGCAGCGTCAAAACATTTCTTCCACCTGTTTGTCAGTGGAAGGGAGTAGTCTGAGTGGGGTTTTGGCAATGCTAGAAGAAGTTTCAAGTACATCTCCATCTTTTTTTTCTTCTTCTTGCCTTTCCATACATGGACAGAAAATGTTGCCTTGGAGCCAGCAACCTAAAATCACTTCCAGGCTAGAGTTACCAGCTTAGCAGGCGAATGGGAGCTCAGCCGCGTGACTGTGGCTGGTTAAAGTTGCAGGGAGGAGTTAAAATAATACGTTTTTGTTTGTTTGTTTTCAAGACATGTCTGAAATTCCTTTATTTTAAATACAGCAAGAGCGAATACCAGGTGACTAGCTCCAAGTGGATCTGAAATCAGTGCCTAGGACCTGTGTAGATAGGCATTGACAGGGTTGTTTTGCATTACCTGGCAGGTAAGTAGTCCCTCTGTGAGGGACAGAAGGCTGCGAATTTTAGATAGAAGCTGGGATGCTCGCTGCACATATGGAGAACTGAAATGGTCTTCTTCGCTGTGGAGGTTTTTCTGGATTAAATCAGAATGCATCGACTTCATATCCTGTATGGACACATTGGGGTCTGTCAGATTACAGGACAAAAAGGATGCCTCCCAAATGAAAATGCAAGTAGTGTGCATAACTAGTCTTACCAAAGAAAAGCTACATGCAACACAGGATTCTCACCAGCTATAGTTACCATTCATAAGGAAAGCTTCAGCATGAAATCTGGGGACTGAACATGAGTACATGACACTGTGCTCTTAGTTTTTACAATGATGCTTGTATACTTCATGTTCTGACAAGGATCTCCTACATGGCCATTGAGGGCCAATTCCTATTTACCAGAATTTCTCCCCAAGGAAGGGACCATATCTTCTTTTATATTTGGAAGGGACCTAGCATACCATGAGTGTTGGGGAACCTTATGGAAGTGGAGCTTTCAGTTCCCACAGAACAAGCAGCGTGTCTCTCCTACCCAAGATACATCCTGAGATCTGTGGGGCCACCCTGCTGGTCTCACACATCAACAGAAGTGTGATACATTCATGCAAAAGTCCAGTAGTTCCTCACTATTCCTGGTTCTCCCTGACTCTCTTAGTAACTGCTCCCACTAGCTCCCCACTGGACCTGTCCCCATTCTGTGAGTTTGACAACACAGAGCTGGAGTCTACATAAGATAGTACATGGAAATCCCGAGAGGTGGTGGGAGCGGGGAGGAGGAGGATGACCCAGTCATGCCAAAATCATGTAGAAAGGTTTCTGCAGTGCTGGAAGAAAAAGGTATGATGCCACATTAGCTGAATCCCCCTCTCTCTGACATAATTTGGGACAAATTTGGTGTGCACATTCCATTCTTTAATCCGCTCCATTGCGGGGGGGATGGATGTGGACACAACTATTTTTCCACTTAAATTTACTGTACATTTCAAATTACAAACTGTAAAACTTATCTCCATTCTATGTAATCCAACGTTTGTGTGAGCCATGTATAAGATATTTCCCATCTTAAAGCCCAATCCAGCAAAGCACTTAAACATATGCGTATCTTTTAATTGCAGGAGTACTCCCATGTACTTAAAGATAAGCACATGCTTAAGTACTTTTTTTGGATAGAAGTCTTAGTACTTAATCCTGTTCCTGCACTTCTTACTCAGTCAGAATTTCCACTGGAGTCAATGAGAGTTTTGCATAAGTAAGGAAGAAAAGGATCATGTCATCTGTAGACATGAAAGTGTAACTGCTATTTCTATAATAAAGCATTCTTCTAAGAAAGGACAGCACATGTCCTAACATACCAGAAGAAACCTCCTCAGAATGTGCATCTTCCACTCTATTTCTTCTTCTTTCTTCCTTAGTTCTTCCTTCTGTATGCCAATTTTATGTCCGAGCCTCTGGATCATTTGATACTGCATCTGCTCCTAGCATGAAGACAGCAAAATTAAAGAAGAAATCAACATATGCTGCTTATATCTCTGCTCAATACAAAGGCTCATTTACTCAGACCCATACTCTCGCCTCTCACTGAGAAAAGGGGGAAAAAAAGATAGAAAAATACCACTTTTAGGGGACCAAAACTCTCCCCCCTCCCCAAACACACACATTTTGAACGCCATATTTATTTCAGTGAGGGATTTTAAATACATAATCAGTTCTTACAACCACAACATTCAGACTGTAAAAGTTGCATTTAGCAGCTATTTGTGACCTGCATTTTATGCCAGTGTGTGCGTTTGCTATGTGTGCTTTGGGTGAAATTCACCTCTGTATACAGAGGCAGATCAAGCCTATCACCACGGAAGCCTTCAAAATAGGTCTTAAATGGGGCACAGGCCTTGTGCTGAGCTTCTGTGGAGGGGTGAATTTCACCCCATCTAAAAAAGTGAAGGAAAGGCACATGGTGGTCACTGAGTATATAAGGCAGTTGGGCTCTCTATTCTAGTCTAAGTAACATAGGTTCTTTTACTTTTTACAGTAATACAGTATGTCAAGGTTCCAAAGTGTATACTAATACCTTTACTATTTGTGACTCCCTGATTTTGTCATACTGTTCTTTCCACCTGTCAGTTTCAAGCTGGAGAAAACGATTTTGCTCTCTGTCTTTCGCTACCTGTTGCTGAAGCTCTTGGTTCTCTATTTTGAATGCACTGATCCGTTGTTGCATTTTCTCTGTCTCAGCCCGCTCGTTTTCAGATTCTGTTTGCAAGATTTTAATCTGAGCAACCAGCTTGTTATATCTGGACTCCAACTGCTGCCTTTCTGCCAGCCAGTCGTCTTTCTGTCTCTGAAGTTCTGCCTGAAGGGACAGGAGTTGTTTCTCTGCATTCTCCTTTTCTTCCCTAAGTCTGTGCAAGGTGGAAGTGGCAGTCTTGACCTCATGATCCAGTTTTTGTTTAAGATGCCGCAGCTCTTGTATTTCTTGCTCTTTCCTGCGTATCGTCTGATCCATCTGTAAGCACTGGGTCGTAGATTTGGTCTTCTGCTCCATCTCTGCCTCATGCTTTTCCTGAAGGAGACTATAATCAGTTTTAAGTTTTTCCAGCTGCAGCAGAAGGGCTTTTCTTTCAGCCCCAGCTTCCTCAAGATGGTCCCTGGCACTGGATAAAGCCTCCTGCACATTCTTCAGGCAGCTGTCAGTCTCAGTCTTCTCCACAGTGATCTTGTCCTTTGCTTCAATTAGATCTTCGATGTTCTTCTTCAGCTTCTTTATGGTGTCTATAAAATGCTGCTGCTGGACAATTTCCACCTCTAGCTGTTTAATCTTAGTCTCCAGAGAAATGTTATCATAGTAAAGATCCATGATTTGGGTATGCTGTTTCTTCTGGTCCTGTTCTACTTTCTTCATGACCTCATCCAAATCCATACTCCCCTCTTCAAGCAGCAGCTTCTCTATTTCTTTAATCTTCTTCTCCAAAAAAATATTATCATACTGAAGATCCATGATTTGGTTTTGCTGCATTTGCTGGTCCTGTTCTAATCCCTTGATTACCTCATTCAAGTCCACATCCCCCACCTGAAATAGCCATTTCTCTGGGCCAAGCGCTGAGTTTTTTGTCTCATACATATTGAAGGATGCTTCATAGGGACTCAGGCAGAGACTTCTTGTACTATAAGATGGGAGAATTCCTCTGTCCCCTTGCTTGCATTCTTCTTGGCCGTTGAGTGACTTCTCAGAAGACTGGAATAAAGACTTCTCAGATATACATGCTCCCTGGGGGACAACCACAACCTATTGTCACTTATTAGAAAAACAAAAGCATACATGACTTGATTGGCTCTGACTGTCTGCCTTACCTGACTACTTCACCTGAGGATAATTTGAATGAGTTCCATTTACTGTAAGAGAACCAATATTGTTGCCATTTTACCATTACAAACAGGAGGTCATATCCTGCCCTCTTTAGTCAGTCCTTCTTACTCACATTGCATTTCCATTAACTTAAATGGAAGTATTACTTATCTGAGAACTGAATCAATCTGGTCCAGGCATAGCAAAGCAAAACAAGGTTAACAGATAAATATAAATTTTCAAAAACACTTTTCATAATCATTTTTTTCTTTTGAAATTATTAACTCCTCATTTTTGTAACTGCAAAAAATAAAATTGCAATAAATTCAAGACAGAATCTTTCCCAACCAGAAATAGGATGCTGTGTATTTTCCTGGACTGACAATGAATAAAAAACAGTATCTCTCTAGGGTCCCAGTTCTGCAATGGCACTCATGGCTACTGTGTCTGTGCAGAGCCCCAAGGAAATTAATGGGGCTCACAGGGTGCCATTGTAGATTTGGGTTCTAAATTGTGTTGAGCAACCATCTTACAACAGGAATTTATTAAACTCAAGCCATCAGGCACAGCTATTGCACAGGATAGCATGAAAGTGGAGACAGAGCATTGAAGTTGAAAGGGCAAACAAGACCACAGATAAAAAATGACTTTCACTGATCCGTGCAACAATGTATGTATTGAATTTCTGTATGGCCTACATAAGGGAGATGTCACTCAATGATGGTACAATTCAACCAAAACAGAGATAAAGGGCCAACTGACTTCAGTGGGACAGAACTGGGTATCAGTGATGCCTAACACAAGAAGGCCCTGATTTTTGATTGAGGGTTCCCAGATGCTATCATAAAACTAATAGTAAATCGGAGCAGAATTTGGCCCACACATTTTTATGCAGCTTTTCAACTCATTTAAATAAAAAATTTCTTCCCCTTGTTGCATATCTGTGGCTAAAAGGATAGACAAATTATAAATAAAAGGCATCTCACAGACTCAGACAGAAGGCTGCCGCCAACACTTTCCTCTTTGTTGCAACAATGTGATAAGTTGCTCTTGATATTTTCTTTCATGAGTCTATTTGATTTCATCAGAGCTCGAATATATTCAATGTTTTCATCCAAAGAGACTGGAGAAATATCCTTCAAATTCTCTGCACAGTCAACATGTTGTTCAGTGGCTGTCTGCCAAAAGAAGGTAAGTGTTTGTAAACTGAATGGTTACGTCAGTGAAAATATGCTCTCTCATAAAATTCAGAGCTCAGTTAATTCAATAGGCATTTCTATTGCACCCAACTGTAGTGTCAAGGGGGGATTTAGAATACATCTACTCTATTATTAATAACATCATACATCAAGAGGTACACTACTCTCCCACAGAGAGTACTACTAGGTATACATATCGTTTCAAATATCACCACTAGCTATAATAGGGAACATTGTTTTCATCAACATGCTTCCGCTTTCTTGTGGATTGCAGTTTGAAATCTTACCATATTTTCTTCATGACTGGCTGCTTTGCCAGTCAAGTTAAAGTTGTCCTCTCTGAAAGATAATTCTTCAGTAACAAAACACGGATTTTTCTTAATTAAAGAGCCTGTGGGTCGAGTGAGAAAATAGGACACTTCTTTTATGGGGGATTCCTTAACAATGCACTCCAGCAATGACTCCCCCATTATCACAAATGGATCATCTTCCAGAGGTAACAATTCTTTTGCCAGTGAAACTTCCTCATTCTCAGTTTCCCATGATGCTTTTTTAATTAAGTCTTTTCCAGTAATGGAGCTTTCCTTTGACCAATCCAGCATTTTGCTGTGTTGTGTTGATTCTTCTTTGGATAATGATTCCTCCCTGGGGAAGAATATTCTTTCATTATCTGAGGATTCCTTCCAGTCTGCTACATACAGAGAGTCCTTGTTGCTAAGGCATGTTCTTGTATCACATAATTGTGTCAAGACTTTCTGTGAAGAGTCTTCAAAATCTGCACATAGTCAGGATGGCATTGAGTAAATACATTAGAACTGGTTCATAGAACATTAATAGAAATATCACACTGTAACTGGGCAGAGGTATGCTGTTCTGTTTGGGGTTAGCACAACAGGTGTATGATTTCCTTTCAGTTTACATGACTTTCTGATCAGAAATAACCTAACCTGAACATGATGCAACTGCATGAATGCTCACGCCAGGGATTATGTTAGCACACTCCAATTTCAGCCCTCAGAAACAGGTCTGCAACATCCACTGAAATCAGTGTGCATGTCAGAGCAGAATTTAGCCTATGATGTTGGGGAATAGTGAATGATGCAAAAGAATTAGCGTGCTGTGGACTGAATCCTGGCCTCTGTTGTGCTGAAATGTAAAGGAAAAGGGTATAGGGAGCCTTTCATACTGGAGCAAGCAGCAGAGCAGAATCAATCCTGATGCTCAAGGCAGTTCTAGGAGGTACTTATGATTATCATGCTGGCTTGCACACTATGGGCCAGATCCTTAGCTGGTGTAAATCAATGTAATTCCATTGACTTCAGTGGAGCTACGCTGATTTTCACCAGCTGGGGATCTGGGCCTATAGCCTCTAGAAGAGGTAATCTGCCAGCTAGTGGGTGTGTGCAGCCCCCGCAGCCAGCTAAACACACATGCTGCTGTCAGCAGCAAGTGCTAGTTGGGTGTGCATCCTGCTCCAGCTCACAGGATTAGGCAGCAGCATGTTGTGGCAGCCTATTCTGAGCCATCAGTGAGCCTGCACGAAATGAAGGTCTGACAAGTCAGGAACAGCTGCGAGGACCAAATTATCTCATTTCGGTGTCACCATGGATGCAGTTGAAGGGAATTTATTATTCACTGCAATTTACAAGTGAAATTTGTGTGTTGGTGAATTCAATATGGACCTCATGTTTCTTCTCTAGGTTATTTTCTGTCCTGTTGACATAGTTGTGTTTTTATGTAAATAAATACACCTTTGCTTAAACAGTATCTTGATTATATTCCTACTGTTTCCAATATTTCCTCTTTGCTCCATCCTGTCTCTGTTGCTTATCTCCCTTACTAATGTCACATCTGAAAGACAGATGGTAAGTGCTTGATCTAAAACCTATTGAAATCAAGAGGAGCTTTCTATTGATATTAATGGACTCTGGACCAGGCTCCATGTGCTTTGGGGAAGAGAGTGAGTCTTTCTATGCCTTCTGTGAAGAGCCACTATAGCACACTTAAGGGCACTATAAAAGAAAGACAGTTAAAGTTCTTTCTATTTCATGATTCATTGCCAAAGAGGAACATACTGTATATCAAATTTTCCAACTCTGGCTCAAAAAGATGATCTCCTTTGTAGAGTCTACAGCCAGGATTCCCTTTCCTCCTCGCATTCTGTATTTCATCCTGCAAACACAAAAAGGGGAATCCTTAACAATCCTCATCAGTTGGATCTTCAAGGCCTTACTTATCATAAAAAGTCACTACACACAGACGATTTTTCTGTTTATTTTCTCCAATAAGTGTGAATCACAGTGTATTTCTTTTACTAGCCAAAGATGAGCAAGCATCATCATTAAGGTAACTGAACTGAGGGCACAGAGAGGTTCAGGGTTAGATTGAGTTTTGTGCCACCACCTTGGGTATGGAGCAGTGCACAGGTACAATTCCTTGTTCCTGGAGGTTAGTAAAAACATGATACCGACTGTGATCAATAGTAAATTACAGCTCCTCACATGCCAGCTCACTTATGCCGGCTGGCATGTTAAGTCGGGGTGGAGCTGCAAATTAGTCCTCTCTGACCACTCCCTGCAGACCTGTATGGAGTGAGGAAAACGTTCTGGGCACGCAAACCCTGCTTCCTCTCACCTGTGCTTGAGACCAACAAGACATAGGGAGGCTGCACAGAGGTGGTGGTGGTTGTCTTATAGCCCTGCACAGTCATGTTGGTCAGGTCCCACCACAAGAAAATAGCAGAACAGAAATTAGAATCCTGATCTCTGAACTCCAGCCCTCTGCTCAGTCCAATACATTACAGCTTCCTCACTGTTTCATTGGCTATCTAGCTATCACTGGGCTATCCATCAACATACTATCTGAGTTTATTTATTCTCACAACACCTCTGTGAGGTAAGGAAGTTTTATTTTTCCCGTTTCACAGCTAGGGAACTGAGTCACAGAGAGATATTAAGTGATTTGTGCCAGGTCACACAGGAAGACTGTGGCAGAGCCAGGAATCAAATCTGATCTCCTGAGACCCAGCACAATACTTTAAATATAAGATCATCCTCCTGAGGGCATGGTACTTTTGCTAGCTGCTTACAGAAGTAGGAGCTTCATTGAAATCAACCCTCTCACAGGTGTCACATATTCCTTAAGGAGTCACTTGCATCACCTTCTATGACTGTTTCAGAATGAGCATTGTTGGCCTCCTAAAGGAGCCATATCCAGCCCACCTTGGCTAGAGAGATGGTCACCCACATGGAGGCCTTGAGGAAAGAAGGGAATAAAAGCAAATATGAGAAAGTATCCCTAGAGTAGGAAATAGTTAATAATCAATGTTACAAGCAAGCTAATTCCCAATCATTCAAATGAATCACCATGTTTACTTGAAGAATTCCTTATTAAATATATAATGGAGTAAACCTGCAAGTCTCTACTTTAAACCTATCCCAGGTGATCAGTAGTAGCTGAAACCATGGTATAGTTGATCCTAAAATAAATGAGTGGGTGATCTCAGCCCAGCTCCTAGTTCTCCCTGGCAGCATCAGCAGAGGCAAAGACTGAATGGGCACAGGGAATGATTTACACTCTCACTGCTGGTCCCCTCTAGGTCAGGGTCACCAACATGCTGACAGGACAGCATGAGGAAGCTTACGCTGCTGCTACTCACGCTTCACTTATTTTGTTGACACACAAAGAACTTCAGCCTCCGGGACCATCAACCCTTCATAAGCATTAGATTCTCTTTAAGCAAAAAAATATATAGAATACCTAGACTGCAGGCCCTTTGGGGAAAGGACTCCCCTTTTTGTTACTTGTCTGTACAGTGCCAAGCATAATGGAGCCCTGATGCTGGATTGGGTTTCTGAGATACTACAGTATAATAAAAAAGAAAAGGAGTACTTGTGGCACCTTAGAGACTGACCAATTTATTTGAGCATAAGCTTTCGTGGGCTACAGCTCACTTCATCGGATGCATAATAGTCTCTAAGGTGCCACAAGTACTCCTTTTCACTTCATCGGATGCATACTGTATGCATCCGATGAAGTGAGCTGTAGCTCACGAAAGCTTATGCTCAAATAAATTGGTTAGTCTCTAAGGTGCCACAAGTACTCCTTTTCTTTTTGCAAATACAGACTAACATGGCTGTTACTCTGAAATCTACAGTATAATAATAAGTAAGAGTACAGTTTGTTTTCCTATGCTACCTTTCATACTCAAGGCGTCTCAAATCAAGTTGCATTAAAATGATGTACATACTGACAGAACGTTAAGGCTGGAAGAAATGTTGCAGCTCTCTGCAGTGTACAGGTACTGGGCAGTAGTGCTTTAAATAGTTTGGGAGCCCTCTAGTGGGCATTCCTCCCTTCTATTTTTGATGCCACCAGAACCCTAACAGAGCAGTGGTGTATATATGGAGCTAGGCCTTGAATACATATATATTTAGTAAATACAGTTATTTGGAACCCAACTGTGTCTGTTTGGTTTCCTCATATTCCTAATGCTATGTAGAGAGCAAAGACACACCACTGTCTTAACAACAGCTCACACAAAACCATGGCCATGAGAACCTGCCTTACTGGGGGACAGGTTTCAGAGGAACAGCCGTGTTAGTCTGTATTCGCAAAAAGAAAAGGAGTACTTGTGGCACCTTAGAGACTAACCAATTTATTTGAGCATGAGCTTTCGTGAGCTCAACATCTGATGAAGTGAGCTGTAGCTCACGAAAGCTCATGCTCAAATAAATTGGTTAGTCTCTAAGGTGCCACAAGTACTCCTTTTCTTCTTACTGGGGGAGAATATCAGTTAGGATACCAGCATGTAATTCCTCTACTCCTTTGGTAAAAATATTCATGGGATATTTAATTTCCATGTGAACTGATACCAGAGACTGGCATGGGGGAATTTAGAGATATCCCAAAGTAGCTCTATGACGTACATACCTGAGAGATCTCTGAAGCTGTACTGCTGCTTTCAACATTAAGAGAATCTCGGTGGGTCAACTGCAGAGAAGCATTACTGAGGGAAATGGCATCTCCTTCACTCATTGTATTTAAAGGCTGCTGAGTAAAAGCATCGACCTCTGATTTACTGATTACTGCCAAAGTCAAAAACTTTTGATAGCCTTCATCTTTACATACTGGATGGTGAGGAAACATCTACAAATAAAAGATTGTAACCCTTTTAATTTCACCTAGCATAAACCACAAACAATAGTAGCAAAAGCCTGGCCTCCACCTTCATTTTTCTAACACACCAGCGAGCAAGCAGTGATCAAACTGTCTGTGTATTTGTTATTAACAGTGTTGTGGCAGCCATGTTGGTCCCAGGATATGAGAGAGACAAGGTGGGTGAGATAATATCTTTATTGGATCAACTTCTGTTGGTGAAGCTTGAAAGCTTGTTTCTTCCACCAACAGAAATTGGTCCAGTAAAAGATATTACCTCACCCACCTTGTCTTTTGTATTGAATATTAAGACATTATTATGACATACGTAGAGAAATGTGATCTAGTGAGGACTGAAAATTGGAAACTCCATTGGGTTCAGTTGGAGTTTTGTCTAAGGAAAGATCTCATTAGAAGATTTTATAGTATATTATATACACCCATATATATAACACAGAGCACACAATCTACATTACATACTAAATAATGGGTATATGAGTGTGTATATATATATCTGCCTTCATCGAGTAGCAATCTTTACTCGAAGAAAGCTTCAACTGAAGTCTGTGAAATTTCTGCACCCAATATATATATATATTCTGCCAAGTAAACTCTTCTTGAAAGTAGTGAGTATTTATTCCTAGTAAGGGTAAAAGGACTTCTGGGAGTGATAGTACTACTGATTTATGTAACCTATGTATGAAAATTCTGTAATTCACACCTGCAATGACCTTCAGAATACAAGGCTCCTCCCTGCTTGTCTATCTATCATTACAGGTCCTTTCAGTGACTGGGGTATCAGTTTAGAATAAGGGACAAGCAGAAGAGCATTTGGAACCATAGTGGTATTGGTCAGACTCTTCAGCCATAAACAGGACTGTGTGCTCACTATGTTCACAGTGGAGAAGTAAGGGCCTGATCCAACGCCTACTAAAAGATTTTCAGATCTAAGGCAGAATCCACTGATTCAGGTCTCCTACTCCAAGGAAACCCTAGTATTTTTGATAGCATGACATGACAAAGTATGCTTTCAATTTAGAATAAACTGTAACAAAATAAGGATGACTTTATAAATATTTGTATTCATCTTTTTTAATCACTAGAGTTTAGTATAAGGGATGGATGAACTGGTTTGAATTAAAAAGGCCTGGGATTAAATCCTGGCATTACTGAAGTGAATGGGAGTTTGGCCATTGATTTCAATGGAGCCATGATTTCACCCAGTTCTTAGACCAAACCTCTCCCTGACCCAATTTTCACGCACCTTTAGGCTTGCTGGTCCTAGTTGGATCAGAGGCATACAGTATAAGCCAAAATAACATAAAAAAAGGGCAATTCTCATGGTATTCCTAGAAAACTGAAAATAGATTTACCAGAATTTTTGTGAGAGAGCCTGATTTTTGCAAACCAAAATAGTTCAAATTTTTCAGAAAAGCATCTGAACTTTGGAGCTTTTCACTAATCAACCTCCTTAAGGTTAATAGTTCATACCATAATATGGGACACTTTAGTAATTTCTCTCTTAGAAAAAAAAATCTCCTAGGGAAATACTATCACAGTAATGATAATAACCTACCCCTCCACGCCCTTTGTATTTTATGAACTGTATTTAATCCAGTTTAATCTTACAATTCTATTTGGGACTTTTTTATAAGTGGAGAAGAAATTTACCACTGGGCAGCACCTCTCTTCACTTCTCATAATCAGTTTTTGCTAGGTTTTAAATTCTAATAGGCTCACATCTTGGATCCATCAAAACTCTTCTGAATTTCGGCCAGGTGATTCCCGTTCCCTCCTAGACCATCTGCGTACGAGGTGGGTTGGGGGCTGGCTGTTCTTCTTAGAAGTCCGGTTGGCTAGGACTGCGGTGACGTCACAAAGACCCTCTGTGACATGACAAATCCACAACCAATCCCCCTACCTGAACGGCTGGAGAGGGGCGGGGATGAGAGAGCCTTGAAGCAGAACGTTGGATGTGTCTCATGGGCACGTGTAAACGGAATTGGTGCTGGAGATTTGTAACAACGACTCATCGGCCCGCGGCTCAAGTTTAGCCAGCGACTTGTCACTTAGCTTATCCCCCGCAACCTTACACCGCATTAAACGCTACTAGGTTTGACAGCCAGCTCCTTAACCGCGATCGAGATGCCTGATTTCAGGGTTCACAAAATAACACCTGTCCACACACACACATTTATGTGTACGAACGCGATATACATATAACTATGGTACGTATGTGTTGATTGATGTGTCTGTCCCCCGACTACCTACTGTGTTTCTGTATGAGTGGGAGATGTACCGTTTATGCACCTACTTGGCTTCCGTACCGTATGATGGGTATACTGCTGTGTATAGGTACTTGGGATATATGCATACTGTGTTTGCTTACACAGTGCACGTGGTGGTGCGTCTGGGATTTATGTACTTTGCACGGATGAGGTGTGCAGTCCTGGGGCCTCGGCATTGGTTTAAATGAGACCGGCACTCGGAGGGGTGCGGCTTCTCAGAGCGCGCGGTCGCAGTCGTGGCTTTTTGAGCCTCTGGCTGCGCCGTACAGGATGGCTCCTGGGTGGCGCTAGCGGCAGCCGGGGCGCGGAGGAGGCCGAGCGCCGGGCCCGGGGAGCTGCGGTCCCAGCGAAGGGGCCGCCCGCACGTAGCCTGGGAGCCGCGCGCAGCGAGGAGCCTGCGCACCACCCAGTAGGCTGCGGAACGCCTCGCAGCGCGCGCGTGTGTCACCCACGGTCCGCGGCAGGCTGCCTGCCTTCCTAATGCCCTGGCTGGGCGCATGGTAGCGCACCCAGCACGGCCTGCCGAGTGTCTGTGTATACCGCACCCGTGTAGTGTGGTCACTGCAACGTGCACGCAGGGCCTAACCTGCGTACTGAAATATACACTGGACTGTCCTGAGCATACACTCTCCCTCTCTCCGTGTGTATATACATCTAACACACGTAGCCCTCGCATCCGACACAGCTTCAGTGTAAGCTGCAGACCTAAGAAACTGCACCTAGAATTTAGTTTATAGCTCATAAACACAGAGTACATAATCTATCTAACCCATTGTGTGTATGACACCGACAGATTGCAGTCTTCTGTACTCGGTGCGGAGACCTACTGCAACAATGAATTACAGGAAGGAGATGATGCGCCAAACAGTCCCAGGACAATTCGATGATGCAGACTCCTCAGACAGGTAAGGAGAAAACAGGCTGCCAAGATTATTGTCAGATCATGTGAAAAGTTAGAGCAGAGTTTGTTTTTCCCCTCACTGACCACCTACTTGTATTTTTAAGAGAGTGTCGAAGAGTTGGGGCAGTGTTGTGGGGTTGTTGGTGGGATGGTGGAGAACAAGATTTTTTTTTTTAATACAGTGAGGAACAATTTGTTAATGATATTTCCTCTCCTGCTGTTTGCATGGGTACAGGGGGCATCTTGACAGCTCTATTCAGGATCAGAGCCTGCACTGTCTTGCAAATATTACTTATCAGGTGTAGTGCTTACTGTTAGGAATAGTCTTGCTGACTTAAGTGGAACCACTCACTTGAACAATTATATGTGTATGTGTTGCAGGATTGGACCCTTGATTACTAAAGATATTTTTTGCCTATCAGGTCCTACTTCTTCGCAGCATGGCTGTTGCTTCTTGGTCCTGCAGTGACATTGTAATCCAATGTTTTTTACTCCACATTCTGTTGCCAAGGGAATAATTTTGGTGTCAGGCAGTTACTATTGTAAATTAAATCCAGGAGCAAATAGGGACAGGGTTAGGGTGATTAGATTTAAAGAAATGCTGTCAGGTTAGAAATTTAATGTGAGACTATATAAAGTCTATTTACTTTTTACTATTTATGCTCTCTGCTTAGGCAATAAAAATGGATTGGTTTGTTGTAAATTTGTTTATAAGGAGTTTCCAGGCCGTTTCACATTGTGATTCTCCTGAATTGTTTCAAAGCATGGAGGAGAATGTTTTTGTTTGTTTAAATAAAATCATGGAAATATTTCCATTATGTGTAACATTTGTGAAAGATTGATTTGAACGGGGAAAAGTTTTTTCTTTTTGTTTTTTGTCTTTGTTTAACAAAACCTGTGTTCAGCACATTTGACATTCCACAGTCAGCCTGTAAAACTCATTGCCAGGGGATGTTTGGAGGACAAAAGTATAATTGGGTTTAAATAAGAAATTAGATATGTTCATGGAGGATAGGTCCATTAGTGGCTATTAGCTAAAATGGTCAGAAATGCAACGCAATTCTTTGAGTGTCCCTTAACCTCTCTGTGCCAGAAGCTGGGACTGGACTCAATAATTGTCCTGTTCTGTTCACTCTCTCTGAAGCATTTGGCGCTGGCTACTATTGGAAGACAGGATACTGGGCTAGATGGACCATTGGCCTGACCCAGTATGGCTGTTCTTATGATCTGGCAGGATCTCCATTCTAAATTGAATAGTAGAGTTGTCAGCAAAGGCTGGAGAAGTGCAATGGGGAAGGGAGCGAAAGGGTTGATAAATTCTTAAGGTGAAATTCACCTCCCCCCCCATTCCGTATTGGGTCCAGGTGAGACCTTCTGCCCTACTTGAACCCTGCAGATCTACAGCTATGGCATGTGAGAGCACAGTGGATATACACAGAGGCCTCCTCACTCCTTTGCTTATCGTGTAAGGAGGCTCTGAATTTATGCTGATGCAGTGGCTCTAAAGCCCAGAGTAGGAGGTGCTGAGGGGCAATAGGCCATAGGCTGGAATAGAAACCTTGGAAGGACTGTGGTGAATCTGTGGCTTTCCTGGATGTTGGAGGTAAAATCCGTCTCCCAAATTATCCTTGAACTTCTTCCAAGAACCCATTTCCTTAAATTTTGTGCCAGGGAGGGGTAAATTTCACCTCTATAGCCTATGGTCTCATTTTTCTGTTGCGCTTGATGCAAAGATGTTCTGGACTGCATATACTTATGATAAACTGATCTGGAATCTAGAACTGGTATGTCTCAGGCTAAGGTGATATTCAGTTTATTTTTGAGTTGGGAGGGAAGCTTACAAATATCTGAGAGTATGTTTACATTGTGATTAGAAACCCTGCAGCACTGAGTGTCAGAGCGTGGGTCAGCTGACTTGAGCTTGCAAGGCTCATGCTGTGAGACTAAAAATAGCAGAGTAGACATTTGGGTTCAGGCTGGAGCCCTGGCTCCAGTGTGAGCCCAAATGTCGACACTGCAATTGTGCAGCCTGAGCCCGAGTCAGCTGACTTGGGCCAGTTGCATCCATGCTTCGTGTCTTTTATTGCAGTGTAGACATAGCCTGAGGTGACTAAGGAGAAATTAGAGATGCATGGGAAGAATATGAAGAGACCTGGCAGACCACAGAGACCAGGCTTAGGGTGGATCATAAGCGCTCATAACAACTAAATGTTCCTTTCTAGCTCATCAGTTTTAGTGCTGGATCTATTGATCTCTCAGACCGGGGTATTTGTTGAGCTTTCTGCAGCTCACCGGTAAGGTCCAGTTTGGGATCATCTCAGCTAGAATCCTCGTGTAGCCTAGTTTGTTAGGACAGTGGAGTTCGTCTGTCTCTGAAGAGTGAACAGGATGGTCTTTTGTAGTGTAGGTGTTCGGTAGGAGTTGCAGAGAGTGCCAGATATCTGTGATTCACTGAACAGAATAGTTGAACGAATTACAAAACAGCATTTAAGCAAAGGAAGAAGATACTTAAAAGTGCTATAGTAAAAGCGAGCCTCCATGCAGAAGAGCTCTTCAGGGCAGGTGAAATAATAAAATATTGAGCAGAGAGATACCCTTATTATTGCATTCTTCTGGATGACTGTACATTAATTTCACAATGATTCTGGTAATATGGGGTTTATTTATATAGATCTTTTTTTTTTTTTAAGTGAATTGACCCAGGGCACGGAAACAGTTAAAGAGGAGGAGGTAACAGTTAAACATCAGCAATCATGTTTGTCTGAGGAAGTGGACATTGATGAAATTGAATATGACGATGAGGAGGAGGATGAAGAGTGGGACTGGGATGATTCAGTTGGAAGACTCACCAAGCGTCATACTGCAACTGGAGGCTGCAACCCACAGGTACATTAAAGACACTTCCAGGACGCTTTTCAGAGTTTCTAATAGCAAACGGGACTAAAGCAGGGCACAGTGATATGTGAATATGGACCCCAACCATAAATTCACATTGGGACTTCTCATCGCACTCTCAGCTTAGGAGCGACCTCACACACTCACTCACTCACTCACCCCCCAACCAATGCCACCCTCTTACCATGCCCCGGTGGTTCTCCTTCCTCAACTCTTATTGCTCGGTCTTGCTTGTGGCTGTACCTCTGTTCCATTCCTTTGCGGTCTCAACCTCTCTCCCCACCCTGATATCATTGCTATATCCTCTATATATATTCTTGGGTTTCCATCCTTTCCTTCTCACCAGTTTGTGAGACGACATGCTTGATGTGACTGGGGAGTGTGAGGGCAAGCATATATTTCGTATCATTAGTAAAGGAGGCAAGTAAACCTATGAAAAACACGAAAGGTGAATGGATTTAGAGGGGACTCTATGAGGTTAGAAATCTTGTCTGAATTACTAGCTTAAATAATTAACCCACAGAATTTGAAAACTAATTTACTTTTCACTATGCTCTCAGCTTGGGCAACAGAAGTAGAACATTTCTCCTTGTTTCTTTGACATATGGACATCAGAGTATCTCTGGGAAACTGAAGGGGAGCGGTTACAGAATGTTGTGACTGGCAAAAACATATTTCCTGGGCTACCTGTTTCTGCCTTATGGGCTTCGGAAGGAGACCTGGGGAGGAGGGAGTTATGTGGTGTGTGCTATCTAGAGGCTTATGATGGGGATCTGGCTGGGGCAGACACTGATTGGGTATGGAGAAGATTGTCTCTGGGAACTGATGCCTCTTTGACAAGCCATGCATACCTCTTCTTTGTTCTCTCTTTTTGCTCTGACTCTTTCCCATCTCAGTTTTTCTCCCCATCTCTCTCTTTGTGTTTTCTCTATTGTTTTCCCCATTGCTG